ATCATCAAGTAAAATGTCAAAATTTTCGAGTTTGTTGATTTCTAATGATTCAAAATGATTGAGTTTCAGTCCTTTATTTTCTACGTGCAGAATTTCTAAATTATCATCAAAACTATGTTTATGGCGTATGTTGAATTTGTTTTCTTTTTCATAAAATTCATCTTATGTTCATGAATGCGCTGATTAAACGTACGACCTGTCTGACCGATATATACCTTAGGACAAGTTCCACAGTTGAGATTGTATACCCCTGATTTTTAGAATTTAGATGTTTTGTTTTTATAATTCTTGATAAACCGTCCCAACGTGTTATTTGTTCTATATGCCACTTTTAAGTCCTGTTTATGTAGAAATGAAGCTATAATTTCTCAGTTGATGATCCGAAATAGGTTAAAGTTCTATAATTTTGATTATTATTCTTGATGGTAGGATAAATTTCTTGAATAGCTTTATGATGAAGTTCTTTAGAAAGACTACTGTCTATATCTGTATCCGTTGTTGACTGCAATCTGTTTTATGATATTGAGTTCTTCATTGAAATTTACTTCCGAAAGAGGGACATTCACTAGCCTGTGTATCATACTATTATATGCTGCAATTTTATGTTGATAAGGGTGTGTTGAATTATTATGAATAGTGAAATCAGTGTGGGAAGGTTTATGGAAAATTGAAAAATCATGTTTCTTTTCTTAGATTTGACAATAAGTAAAATTAACGAGGGATATGATCGAGTGCCGCTATGGCCTAATGAGAAATTTAGGAAAGACCAAAGAAGCATTGTTTATTCCAGACTTGTTGGGATTTTCTCTACTCGTTTCTAAAAAATGAAAATATGAATATTATTTCAATATACGTGTAGTAAGGACAAATCAGATGATTGGTCCAAAATGTCACTGCGTTCAAAGAATTTTCCTAACAGAGAGCCTGAAAGAAAAATTCACTACCTTGTCAGTGACAATTTGTATGGTAAAAGGTTTGGAGAAGAGAAATAAAGGTATATAGACAAAATACCAAATTTTCACTTATAGCTTTGGACGTTACAGAAACAAATCTACTCGCGTTTTCAATATGAAAATGTTTATTTGAATAGCAAATTCGTATTTGCCTTGAAACTTTTCAGTTCTCAGTGACAATTTGATATTTTTTCTATATACCTTCATTTCTCTTCTTCGACCCTTTTCAATATAATTTGTCACTGACAAGCTAGTGAATTTTTCTTTCAGGCTCTCTGATAGGAAAATTCTTTAAACGCATTGGCATTTTGGGGCAAATCAGCTGATTTGTCCTCACTACACGCGTATATTGAAATAATATTCATATTTTCATTTTATCGAAACGAGGAGAGAAAATCCCAAAAAATCTGGAATTATGAATGTACCACCTTCTCGATTAACCCACAGACAGTATTTCCCAAAGAAGCAGTTGATCGATCCCATCGTATTTCTCAATTCGATGATTTCACATTTAGAAAGTGGATGGTTGATCACGTTTTCACAAGAGAAAGGGTTGTTATAACCTACTCCATATTCAGATGGTCTGGCGAATATACAGGGTGCAATAAAACTGAAGGCGTGAAGGAGTCATTATGGTTTATTGGCGGCTGTTGCCTAATAGTAAAGACCGAACCTACTACGTCCTTCTCGAGCCATTGAAGAAGTTACAAAAGGTACTTTGTATCATTGACAATTTTTGCATATTTGATGGTTCGCGATGGTCTCACATGATAATTTGAGTTGTGTATCCATCATGGAATGAGTACATTTTTTGAAGTGGTAATAGAACTAATAGAAGGATTTATAAATATTGTTTATTGAGCTATAAATGATATATAGAGTGGACAATTACAACCTTTTGGATTCAAGTTTGTTTCGATTTTTGTTATGAATGAGTACGTTTTTTGTTACCTAATACATGCGATTTTAAATAAATCTATCGTTTTCTTTGATTTAATATTTTTTTGGCTCATGAAGTGAAAATGAAGTATTTCATTACATTCCTCACTCTGTTTTTTTTTCATTAAAATCATCAATTCCTCAATGTATGATCTCGAACTGAATAGTATATCAAAGAGTTTTATAAGCAAGTGGAAGTCAATTCTCTCACATTGGCAAAATATTAGGAGGAAATATCTTTGAAAGTAGAACCATTAACGCGTCCAACAAAAATAGGATAATCAACCTTCAATTGAATCTGTAGGTTTTCAAGAAGTGATATTGTTTTAAATACATATTGAATCATTGAAAATTCAGGAGTTGGATGATCACAGTTTGCTTATCCTAGTTTTGTTGGACGGGCTGAATGGTACCAATACAATGGTACCAGCATACTTCCAAAGATATTTCCAGCAAATATTTCTGCTTTTATGAACAAATTTACTATTACTAGCTATAAAACCACTCTGCTGCTCTTGGCAAGAGTTTTGAGCCTCTTTTTCGGGATAGTATATATAATTACTTTCCCACAACAGAAAAGCAACTTCACAGGAAAACGATGGCAGTATAGTGAGTAGAGTTCTCTCTTCTGCGCAGTAATGAAGATTTTGCCTGTCTCCTATGTAGCCAACATTTTCGGCTGTAACAGTAGAAAAAATAGCTATGGCGATAAATAAATTTTTTCTGTGACGGGAAAAAAGTTTGGCATTTCATCTCTGTTGGCAGGTTATGAAATGTCACTTTCCATAAATTACTTTTTTCCCATGGGAGAAAAGTGAGTACTTTTTTCCCGGATATATATATATATATATATATATCACATATATATACTCTATTAATGGCTTTTGTTGTGCTATAGTTCCGAAAAAAGAGTCGATAATACCGTCTCCGAGAAAGAACTGCAAGTCTTTTTATCTTCCATTCGACTTCGCGGTTTCCTATATTACTAAACAACTACTGAATTCGCAATTTCTTAAAATCAAATCACAGAATTAAACTGACAGAAGTGACATCAGATATTTGATTACTTCAAAAGAATGATAAAGATGCCTGTAAAACGCAGGTGTCCCTACTGTTAAAAACTTGAAATTTCACGTCGATGATTTTCAGATTTCGAAATAATGTAATATCTTCTCAATATTGATTCGTTCTTCCTTCTGTCACAGAAAAAAATAGTGTATTATACACGGGAAAAATATTAGATTTTAGCTCACGGTTTTTTGTCTCCCTCCGCTACGCGTCGGGAGACAACACAACCTGGAGCTACAATCTACTACTTTTTTCCCTTGTATAATAAATAACTATTTCTCAGTGCAGAGAATAGAGATATATTCCAAAAGCGAACGTTGGTGACCAGCAATCATCAGGTGATTTTCAATGATATAGGTAAGGCCGACTCAATATTCATAGAACTACACGACACAATTAAGTATCTATATATATACATAGAAGGAAGGGAAGTCTTTGCTGACCAGTTAGAGACAAAACTATTAGTCTAGTGGGGATGCAGCAATAGTAAAAATGTGTACTCATTTAAGTTTGTTCTAGCTTTCGGAAATGTATATTTCCATCATCAGGGTATAGACTACAAAAATTGGAGGTATTATAATTAATTCACAATATTGAAAAAACTCTATCCATTACACTCATTGAGAATGGTTACTCTGTTGTGAAATTTGTGAAATTGTTGAAAATAACATACTGATGAGGAGACAAAAAACAATTCAAAATATTCTTTAGTTAGTATGTTCAGCTAAAAGGCTACTTATTACCTCATGAATGAGTTTGAATTTTTGAATCCAGCGTGGTTGAAACGATTATTAACGAATCTGAAAAATATAGGTTAGAATGATTCTTCCTCTTCTTTTCCTTTGGTTGACATGAGCAGGTCGTAAGTAAGAATTCTTAACCCTTATGGTACCTACTGGTGTTAGTAATCCTCCAAATCTCAACACAATGGAACAGAAAAAGGTGAAACATACTAACTAGCTGAGCGGGCAGATCATGAAATACAACAGATTATACTGGAAACGCTTAAATATAAGGAATTTTAAGAAAAAACTGTATGTTATCATTAGGAGTCATTGATGTCCAAAATGCTATGGGGAATTTTAGATTGTTTGTCTAAGGATAGAAGAAATGAGAATATTTTGCTCAGAAGATGTTGAATATCAGTTCTTTTATTAATGCAATTGGGGTTTTGTGAAATGAATGCCATTTCTAGGAAGGATCTTTTAGTGACATTATTTTCAATTGCTAAAATTCTGGCTGAATCATAGTCCATACGATGATCCATTTTATTGACATGATCTGCAAGAGCACATCTTTCCGGATGCAATCTACAATCGCTCCTGTGGGAGGTGATTCTGTTGGCCAGGGATCTTTTTGATTGGCCTATATAGAGTTTGTCACACTCCTGACAGGGGATAGCCTCTTAGCTAAACATGATTATAACTAAATAGTTTTTTCAACTTTTTTTTGTTTCATCAGTATGTTATTTTCAACAATTTTACAAATGTGACAACAGAGTAACCATTCTCAATGAGTGTAAGTGATGAAGTTTTTTCAATATTGTGCATTAATTATGATACTTCCAATTTTTGTAGTCTACCCTGATGATGGAAATATACATTTCCGAAAGCTCGGACAAACTTAAATCAGTACAGATTTACTATTGCTGCATTCCCACTAGACTACTATATACATATATATAATGATATACTATGGAATTCCAGTCAATTAGTCAACATTTCATCATGGATACCGCCGCACACACACCTTCCACAAATTAAAACTGACCTGTTGGCTGTAAGGAGCTGCATGATTAGAATCGAGAAAATCAAAAAGAATGAAAAATCCCATCAACCTCGAACCAATCGAGAAGAATAGGCGGTTACGACGCTGAGCCTGCGATACTTATTGGCTAAACGTTTCGATCATCTCAGTCGTGCTCTCCCTTGCTTCTTACTCCACAGACCGAGACAGAAGATGTCTGAATGGATTTTATCGACCGAGACGGGAGATAACTTAAGCGCAGTCAAGGCGTAGAGTCACACCCGCGCAGAGTACGATATTATTACGGTACAACTTGCAGCTTCTCAAAGCACTTTATTCATCTGAAACGGGTGTAGCGTGAGGGTGCCAGATCGTAGTTTACACAGTAATCTCATTGTTCGGTGGATTCATTCATAGATTCCTGTTGGTTTTTGCTCAGTATGATGTCGAGCTCGTTGGGTTCGTCGACTTCCGTGCCTATTTCAGCTGTCGGGTCAGTTTCCGCGCTACAGGATCAAAAGACTCTGGTATCGAATAGTGAAGGTTCTTTGGAAGATCCACAGGAGCTGGAGAAGAGCGAGATCAACGATGCTGTCACCAAGGTGTTGCAGGGGTATGACTGGACTTTGGTACCGATAGCATCGAAGTAAGTTAGATTTTCACTGGATTGATATAGGTTCAACTAAACTGATGATTAAACTATAACTCAAAAGTTGAACATGGTGAAAGTGTTTGAGAGTTATCCATTTACATTTGTCATTCAAATTTTCAGAAATTTTGGATAGAACACGTAGAACATGGCAATTTTATTTGTTATTGGTCAATGTGAGGTTTATTGGTAGGTTGGGTGTCAGTTCCAGGAGTTCCATGGTTTCATTTTATTTTTTATATATACTCACCTATTTCTTCGGAATATTCTATATGGATTCATATGATTGCGAAGACCCAGAATGAGAGGAAATAGATTGCCTTCTAATCCTTGAATATTGCCAGTTGAATATCAAGACGGGAAGTATAAAATTCACTAACATTGAATTGCATTGATTTGCGGACCGGGCATTTCTGATTCGATTCTCGATTCATATATGATTCATAATCGATTCACCTATATGACTGCACTGGTAGGTAAAATGATATAATTTGATTCGATTCACACTCTTTGAAGTGCGAGTTGAAGGGTAGTTTATGACTGCTCTTCCTCAAAAATCATTGCTGACCGAGGATTTATTATCATTTTGCTTCTTATTATACATATTTCAACATCCTTCACTTCAGTATAGCCATCAGCAATAATTGGAAAATAATAATTCACCTATATATACACATATATTTTATGGAAGGGAAGTCGTTGCTGACGAGTAGGAATGAAACCAGTATATATTGGGTGTAGCAGCAGTGTAAAAGGAATACTCTTTGACGTTTATTCAAGTATTCGGAAATGTTTATTTCCATCATCAGAAATACTATATACAATGATTGAAAAGTGTAAATACATTGGAAAACACTATGGCCTTGTCTTGTACCTACATCTTTGGTGAGGTTGGTTACAACGTTGTTCCATAATATATATAAAATTATAAAAGATACGGTGAAATATTGTGGAAAAGAAGAAGAAGTGAAATGTCCGCGAAAGTTGAGAAGTTGTTGAGAAACAACCTTAGCGAACATATTACTTATGGACATAGAAACAATCTCTTTTCCTTCTTTTCCATAAACTGGCTGAAAACTACAATAGTTATAAACCACAATAACACACCTGTCAATTGATGTACCTACACAAAAAAATTCTCTATTTTGTGAAGAGGAAGAAACAGAATATTCCCTACCTAAATGAATTCTAAGAATGTGTAGAATGTGAAAAATGTGACTTGAACATTTTTTTTATCCAAATTTCAAAATTTTAAATTCAAAGAATAAGCATACAGTTGAATTAGTTGTACAAATGTTAGTCTCTCATGTGTCTCACGTGGCACAATATGTCACCATATCATTTACAATTTTATATATCGAACAACGTTGTATAATAACCAACCTCACCAAAGATATCAGTACAAGGCATAGCCATAGTGTTTCTCAATGTATTCACACTCTTCCATCATTGTAGTATTCCTAATGATGGAAACACATTTCCGAAAGCTTGGATAAACTTTAAAGATTATTCCCTTCACACTGCTGCTACCCTCAATATACACATGTTTCATATACACATATATATTTTTTTATCGCTTGGAGCGCACGAAAGGGAATCCCTATAGTGTTCAAAGAACATCGTGCGTTCCTAGGGAGGATAGGGATCGGAGGTAGGTATTGGATTTTTTTTGAACTTCTGGAGATTATATGTTGTTGTTATAATAGAAGAAAACTAATTTATTTCTGCTCGTTTTCAGAAATTTTTGATGACTAAGTATGTTTTGCTTGAATATGTTCATTATTCGAATACGAGTTCCGAGAAGAGTTCGAATACTTACTCATCAGGTGCATTTCAAGACACCTGTTTATAAAAAGAAAAAGTATTATTTTGATCTTAACAATACGTCCTTGAAATATTTACATCAGATTTTGAATCACCCTGTATAAATGCTCGGAAAGCTATACTGCCCTGCTAAGCAAAAGCCCATATGGATGGTACCAAAACTAGTACCGCAATATCTAACTTCGATCTAACTTTTCACTGAGCAAGAATACCGTAAAATGGATTCAAATAATTTTGACAAATAACTTTTATAACCCGTACTCGCGGAAATATCATTGATCAAACTAAGCAAAACACAGTGAATTGCAGTAAATTGACATTCGAGGCGACAACCACTATGTCCAATATGTGTACACTTGATGTCCAATCCCGATGTAATCCGTCCAATCCGAGATCCATTCTTAGGCCAATATTACTTTTCTCGCAATGCAAATGTCCAATCTCGTATTTATAATATTTGATAATATTCGACAATATCAGTCCAATCCTACGTGTATAATCTGTCATATCCGTGTACTTTTTATCCCTCGTTGCCATAAGAAAGAAGCTGTGAACTAATTTTTCGTGTTTTTGCTCAGCTACTTCATTATGCGGGGTTGATCATGAATACAACTAGTTATTTTTCCATCATGCTGGAAGACAGCTAGAGACAAACCAATCCCCAAAAAAGGGAACAAGAACCTGCCCAAGAACTACAGGCCCATTGCACTGTTATCAGTAATCTCCAAAGTGATGGGGAAAGCCATCAATATTGAGCTTATCAAATATCTGGAGAGCTCAGGAATCATCAATGATAGACAATACGGCTTTCGCCACCGAAGATCTACTGGAGATCTATTTGCCTACGTCACTCATTCATGGCAAGCTCCATTAGAAAAACACAGGAAATCTCTAGCTGTCGCGTTGGACATATCGAAAGCATTCGACCGTGTTTGGCACGAAGGACTCCTCCACAAACTACCATCATACGGCTTACCACCTCAGCTATGCCATCACTTATCGAGTCTTCTTTCAGGCAGATCGCTTCATGTGGTGGTGGACGGTGTATCGTCTGATACCATTGGCAGCAATTCCGGCGTTCCACAAGGATCAATTTTGGCACCAACATTATTCCTTCTTCATATCAATGATCTGTTGGGAGTAACAACTTGCCCCATCCACAGCTTTGCAGATGATAGTACCCTCCATACTGCGTTCTCTTTCAGAATTACCATTTCTTCCCAAGAAACTAAGAACTCACGGCGCAGGTAGGTCAACGCTGTCAATGAAGACCTTGCTGAAATCACAGCCTGGGGAACCAACAAACTAGTTGAATTCAACGCCATCAAAGTATGCCCGACATTGTAATGTCTGGCACCACCATCCCCACCAAGCCCACCATATCTATACTCGGCATTTCCATTAGCAACACTCTTTCAGCAGGAGGTGCTTCACAATAACTCGGATTCTTGTTTCGTTCGAAAAGCTACTTTACACCTCAACAGCTTCTCGTGATCTACAAAGCGCAGATACGGCCTGTTCTAGAATACTGTTCCCACATATTGGGTTCAGCACCAAAACATACGCTGATGCTCTTAGATTCCATCCAGAGAAGAGCCATCCGCCTGGTGGGTGACGTCATACTCACTCACTCCTTGACATCATTGGAACACCGTAGAAAGGTAGGCGACCTTTCACTTTTCTACCGATACTACCACGGGAAATGTTCTTCGGAAATCTCTGCTATCATCCCTTCACTAGCAATACCAGTCAGACGGACTCGACAAGCCCAGTAAGCACATCCTTGCGTTGTCAACCTCGAAAGATGTCGAACAGCACTTTATCAAAACTCCTTCATCCATAGAACGGCTAGGCTTTGGAATTCATTGCCTGAGGAAGTATTTCCAACAACATATAATCTCCAGAAGTTCAAAAAAATTCCAATACTTACCTCCTATCCCTATCCTCCTTAGGAACGCACGATGTTCTTTGAACATTATAGGAATTCCCTATTGTGCGTTCCAAGCGATAATAAAAAAACTAGGTAAATATTCATCTAGGATGTTCAAATGCAGTCAGGAATGATTTTTTCAAACAGTGGGTATCAGTAATAAACTATTCCTTTCGGAGGTTGGATTGAAATTATCTAATTGATGGCAACTATATAAATGTTTATTTATAGGATGTTCAAAATGTGTAATTTGAAACAAAAACTTTTATCATAAATAATTGAATATTTTAGATTATTGAGATTTTCTCTCCTAGTGGGGACAATAATTAGGATAATTTGCCTCAAAATGGCACCGCATTCAAAAATGTCACTGATGGGTACTAAGAAACGTAAACATGAAATTCAATGGTGATAACTTGTTGAAAAAAATGTTCGAAAAAGAGGAATACTTGAAGGTAGATACATCTTGAGGTAATCGAAAAATTTTTCACACTGCCTTGACTTCATGCGTGGCCTGAAGATGGACTTATCGGAAGCATGTCTTATTGACAAAAGTCTTAAAATCACTTATTTCAACCCAGCTTTGAGCATTTCTTCCTTTCTTCGGAATTCCACTCCACGTTTAGCAAGAAAATTTCAGAATTCAATATGGCAGTAGTTTTGTTGGTGTTTATACCTATCCTATACCTATCATTTGATGATACCATATGTTCAAAATAGAAATATACGAGATACGAATCCACTCGCGAATCCATTGATATCTGAATATCTCTTTCGATGTTCGTTTCTAGTATCCATCATGAAGTTGCATTATCAATCTAAAGGGTATACCTATATTGGTAATCATTGAAGGTATTTGGAAAGATATTGGTAATATTAGAAATATTTTTATTGGTATCATCACGTTATATTTGGTATTGTATCCTCAATATAATTGGTATTATCTAGTATAGGTGATTCTAGATATTACGGATTATTCGGATATTATCTGATGGTATTGCAGTATATACCTATACTCGATATGATATATCCGTTTATTCCATGATTTATTGAATTGGGCCAGTGAAAGTGGCTCACTCTGGAGTTCTCATAAACTCACCAATACTTATAGTATTTTTGATATATTTTTCGAGTTTTGTTTGATTTATTCATAATAATATTTGTGATACAATAAATATAGATTATGAGATTAGAACATTACACCCCCACCGGAAGGACAGAACCCACCTAAGCAAGTGAATGC